ATTTCACAACCTCATTCTAATAAAATCATAAGCCTCTTTGTCCTTCAGAGCAGTTGCTGTTCTCCTGGACTGCCCACTTCCGCTATTTTGGGAGTGTACTCCCTTTCTATTAATAAATCCTCTGCTTGGGCCAGCAGAGTGGCTCAGTTGGTTAAGAGCTCACTCAAGAGTGGGAGCTCTGAGCAACAGGGTCACCGGTTGGATTCCCAGCCCAAGCTGAGCTGCCGCTGACCTGCCAACAGATGGCAGAATGGCTCAGCTAAAAATAAATAAATAAATAAATAAATAAATAAATAAATAAATAATAAAAATAAATCCTCTGCTTGCCTGGCTTTGCTTGTTTGGCTTATTAGGTGCATCCTTGAATTATTTCTTGTGACCTTCACCAAGAACCTGTTTTGCAGCAACAGAATAAATTTAATTAAATAAATGAATTTAAATATCAAAGGTAAGCTGATGCAAAATTAAAGTTGGGTTTTCTCTCCCTGCTAAATAGAGCAGGGTTTCTTGGACTGTTGATCTGTTACTGATATTGTGGAAAACTTTTCTATCTAGAGAGCAAAGATTCTATGTTTTGTTAAAATAGTTCTGTGTTTTGTATTGTTTTAATTAGGTCCTTGGTTACTTAAGAACTATTTTCTCATCTTCTCAATCCTAAGAACTACTACAGTTTTGCTAACCTGTATTTATGTTTGATGCCTCTTTTGTCACTTTGGGTAAATGAACAATTCAATATTGTTTCATAATGATATATGATCTTTTTGGTCAAGTGTGGTTGACAAACTTCTCAGGCTTCAAACTGACAGAGAGAGAGAGAGAGAGAGAGAGAGAGAGAGAGAGAGAGAGAGAGTCTTTTTCTTAACCTGAAAATGGCTTTAGGTTGTTCCAATGATCCCCTGGAACACCTCAAAAGATTGGTTTCCTCTCCTTACAAAAGAGAAATATTAAACTAATTAGGCTTAGTTTGGAGTGTTGAAATTACATGGAAGCTTTGTCAAATAAAGAAATAATAATTCTGTTGTATTTGTGTGTGTGTNGGCAGTGTCACTGGCCCTCATATGTGGGATCCGAACCGGGGCCCTCTGGCATCCCAAGCGAGTTCTTAACCATCGCGCCACTCGGCCGGCCCCTCAGCCCTGTTTTTAAAAATAATATAGATCCAAAGCCATGAGAATAACACCTATTATTTAGCTGTTGGTAAATTGTCCTAACTCCTGGTTACAAACAAAGTTATGCTCTATTAGAAAAATATGTGGAAATTTAAATTATGTTAGATAATACAGTTTTCAACTGTTAGACCTGTTTCCTTAGACTATAACCAATATCCTGTAAGAGATTAATATAAGCATGTGGTAGACACTTCCTTGCACAGTTTTTTTTTAAAAAATGTTACATACACAAGCAACAAATTAGTACATGTGAATAAAATGAAAAATTGCATTCCAAATCCCTTATGAAAAGTAAACCACTATTTTTTATGTGACTTTTCTAAAAGGGCTTTAGACTTCAGTTTAAATTATGAGTAGGTTTTATTCATCTCTTGAAAAAGACCTGAACACCTATTATGTGCCAGCCTAGGCTGCGGGCAACAAAGAAAAGACAGTGTATGGGAGTCTGAGTGCCTGGAGGGAGTATGGTTGTGTTTAGCTGGGAGAAGTTGAGCAGTGGGCAGGCAAACGCAAGAGACTGCCTTTTAGTGTCTTGTAGATGAGACACTAGTGTCTCATTTAGTGCCTTAGTGGTGCCTTGGGCACCACTGAGTTTAAGCAGGAGGGTGAATGATTTAAGCGAGGTGAGGTCAGCCTTACTTGCTCAGCCAATAAAGTAAAACAAATGCCCCAACGTGTTTTAAATGTTTCACACAGTTTAAAATTCCCTTTTGAGTAATTGATGCGTAAGAGAGTATATGGATTAACTTAAATAAGTGTTTCTTCACAGGTAGAACTCTGTGATTGTCCTATTACCATCATGAAAATTGTATGACAGACCTTTAAATTATCATGTTACACTGGTCAGATGATTCATTCTATTCAATGGGTTATGCTATTACATGGCAATGCTAAAAGACACTTACTGAGTGGTATAGATTCCCTTTGGTTTACAGTACACATGCTGTTTTTTAGTATCTTTTCCCCATTTCCCAGTTTGGAAGATAAAACAATATAGTCAGTCGTTTAATTAATAAAGTAATTTTATTTTTTCATGGTTATAATTCAGTGTCCAGTAATTCATGTCCTAATATATGAAGTTCTGAATCTAGTAACATTAAAAAATATTTTTTAAACATTTGTTTCCATTAGGATTCCATATGGCTCTCATATCATTCCTTTCCATCTTTGCCAAGATTTGGATACTGCAAAAACCTGTGTTTGTGGAAGATTCTGTCTAAGCTGTTTTATTCAAGGAACTACCAGCATGAATCTACACTCTGTTGCTCACACTGTGGTCTTAGTAGATAACATGGGTGGCACTGAAGCACCCGTTATCTCCTACTTCTGTTCTCTAGGCTGTTACGTCAGTTCCTGTGATATGTTAAAGTAAAGGGGATACCTATTACTGATACCACAAAAGGAAATTGAATTTAGTTACAGATGGGTTTGGGATTCATTTGTGGTTTAACAGTGTCTATTGAAGAAGGGGAAGCTTTTTTGTATACATGCTTGAGGGGAACAATGTGTTTCTTTAGCATTTTCAATAATTTGACTGTAAAACCTTAATTGCATTAAAACCTAATTTTATTGTGCGGTTAACTTTTATCAGTTTAATGCACGTGTGTTGATTTCAGCCTAGTGTTTCCAGAATGGGTTGTGAGCTTTTAATGTTAAACAGATACTGATTCCATCGCTCTGGTCATAGAATTTTCTTATCAACTTTCTTCTTACATTTCAGTGAAAGAAACTGAGTTTCTGTATGCAGAAAATATACCTTAGAAGACTACTATGGTCTAAATTATAGTGAAAACTTGTTTGGTATGCAACTGCATATGTTTTTAAGCATACCATTATTTGTGTTTTTCAGGTATATACTATGTATGGACGTTTACATTCATCAAGCATAAAGTAGGAGTTGCTTTGGAATAGACCAGCTTTTTTAAGTTTTATGTTAATCATATAATCTATATTTCTAAGTTTTTATTTTATTTTTAGAGTTCCAGCAAGGTTTTGGGATTGGGTGGGAGGAGCATAAAATGCTTTTTACTGACAATATTCTGTATTATTTTATGATTTTCTGTTTTTATTTGAGTCACTTAATGTTTTTTAATTTAAAAAGTGGAGTAAATGTTTAACCACTATGCTGTACACCTGAAACTAATATAAAATAATATTGCCAACTCTAATTGAAAAAAGCAGTGACAGGGCGACCGGTTAGCTCAGGTGGTTAAAGTGCAGTGCTCATAACACCAAGGTTGCCAGTTTGATTCCCACATGGGCCAAGGAGCTGNTTAAAGACAGTCCAGCAAACATTCATTTACCAAACATTTGCTTTCTCATCTCCATGTGAATTGCATTCCCTCCCCTTTGACGTCCCAAACAAAACCTGTCCCCCTCCTCCTTAGCTCCTTTGGGCTCCATATTCTTAGGGAAGCCCCATATGTACATACATAATAAATTTGGTCATTTTCTCTTGTTAATCTGCCCCACGTTACCATGATTATTAGATTATTAGATATATGGAGGAATTGGGGAGATTTTGGTCAAAGGTACACACTTACAGTTAGAAGGTGAATAGGTCCTGAGGATCTAATTGTAGTCAACAATACTGTATTATATACTTCAAAGTTGCTAGGAAACTAGGTCATAAATGTCACCACAAAATGAAGTTATAATTATGTGAAGTGCTGGAGGTGATAGCTAATGATCTATGGTGGCAAATCACAATATATTAATGTATTAAATCAACACATTGTACACCTTAAACTTACATAATATTGTATGTCAATTATATCTCAATTAAAAAATTAGAATGAATTGAAAGGATAAATGTCAATAAAAGGCAATACGTGACAAATACACACAAAAAAAGTATTTTGGGTCAACAGTTCTCTTCATAAATAATGTTTTCACCTCTGACCCCTTGACAGTTTCATCTTATTCACTTTTGTTTTTCCTCAGTGTGCTGTCCTGAGATTGAGTGGTCAATCATCTCAGTGTTTTAATCTATGAAATGCTACATCCCTCTATGTGCAGGCCTAACACTTCCAGATCAGGAACCTGGATGTTGCAGGGACCACTGGAGCAGGGACAGCAGCAATGAAAATAGGACACCGGCCTCCATCAGAAGCATGACCCCTTGGGATGCCCAAGGCACTCATTTCATAGGGCTTTAAGACTGTGCCCCTTAGAACAGCAGTGCCCAAAGTGCAAACACACCCTTCAGGCCCCTGAAGCCATGGTCATTCCAACTCTGGGTGATGATCTGACAGATCAACAAAAGTGAACGTGTGCTCCTAGCATGTGCAGCCTCCTATTGAGACCTCAGATGCCCGGAGGATGAGTCTTGCATCCAGTCCCGAGCCTTCAAGGCCTGGCACCATCCAAAACCATCCACAGTCAACTTGTGCACATTAACTCATTTGATACTTGCAACACTTCAGTGAGGTAGATATAATCATTGTGCTTATTTTATAGAGAGGTTATTATCTTCTAGAATGACCCACATTTCATTGACATTTTATCATGAAAACAATTATCCAATTAGTGTGTTTAAATGTAAGGGTGGGGATTTNATAAAGGGTTGAGGCTTTTTTCTGGTATTCTTGATTTTTGTACATTTCCACTCTAATTAAAATTACAACAGTTTATGCAACATTTAAGATTTTCCCAGCTCCCAACTGTCCTTAGAGAGAGGTTCAGAGTATATTTTACATGCTTACAACGCTTTAGGTTGCTGTTTTATTATTTTCTTTTAAATTATTACTCACTCAAAGAACAAAAGAGTAATTCCTATAAAGTCTAATAGCATTAGAAAATTCTATGGTTTTGTTAGTTTAATTTTCTCTACTGCCATGAGATTAACTGTTGCTGAGTAGTGTTTTCCTTCAGTACATACAAGAAATATGGAGGAGGGGGGAGTAATTTTTTATTTTAATTATTACTTTTCATGAACAAATTACATTTTTCAGAATTTTAACAACAGATTAACACTTTAGGTACAGCATGTTGTAAACAGGGACGCTCATTTAAGGATGTTATATTGTCATAGTTGAATTTAAAATCGGTATTTCTGGACGCCATTTACATTTACGAAAGACAATACAGCTCAGGCGAAATGTAATATTTAATGTGGGGCCGGGACCAATGTGTCGAGGGAGGCCCCGAGGGCGCACAATTTAAGCTGGAAAGACAATGACCTTGAGTGAGCGCCTCCTTAAAACGGGCGGACCCCGGTGCTTCCCTCTCCCCAACCCTTAGGGCCTGGCCCTTCTTTTAGAGGAAATCAAGAGCACGGAGGACATTTGGGGTCAGGACACTTTCCAAGTCTCACACGCAGTTAAGCCAGTCACTCCACCCAAACCCCTCGCGGTTGCACAGTGGGAATTTGATCAACAGAAATCGCCAAGTCAAACATTGTCATATCAAGTTGCGTTCTGACGTGACAGGTATTGCCCCTGAAGTGAGGGGAGCCACCAAAAACAACACAAAACACCCGTCCACCAGCGCCGGGTGCTGGCCGACTTTCCCTTAACAGAGGGGTACCTGCCTTCCCTCGGGAAACTCAGAGTGCAAGTAGCTCGTTAAGGTGTCAAAAGCGTAAAACCAGCACTCCGCGCCAAACAATAACAACCGCCGCCCCCTGCTACAAGCGCCAAGGGTCAACTTCGCCGCCAGCAGCACCCGCCCGGGCTACAGGACGCTGCGCCCTCGCCGATCGCCGGTTTCGGGAGGCGCCATTCGGGTCCTCAAGCTGTGGCAGTCCGTGCTCTGCTGCCACAGAGGGAGGGGAACCCCGTCCGCCCTCGTAGGACTCATTGGCCACTATACTGAGAAAGTCCGACTGTTGCAAAAGGAGCAGACAGGCAGATCCGCGGACAGCCCGCATGCTCGAGGACCCCGGCGGCGGCGCGGCCCGGCGGGAAGGGGGAAATTTCAAAGCTGATTTGTGGACCTGGTTGCTGCAGCTCCGGCGAGATGAAGCTGCACTGTGAGGTGGAGGTGGTCAGTCGGCACTTACCGGCCTTGGGGTTGAGGAACAGGGGTAAGGGCGTCCGGGCGGTGTTGAGCCTCTCTCAGCAGACGCCCAAAAATCCACCGCGGCCTCCGGCGGGGGGCGAGCGGGGCGGCCAGCACCCCGCCTGCCTGCTCATCTCCACCCTGAAGGACAAGCGCGGGACCCGCTATGAGGTGCGTGGAGCGAGCAGGCCCTGCCAGGGGAGTCAGCCACGGGCTCTTCCCCTCAGCCGAGAGACGGGCGGTTCCCGAGATTGGAGTCCGTTTTGGGGGTTCGTGAGCCACCGGCCCCTGAGCCCCATCACCGCACCTGTTCCTGGGTCCTGGGCTTGTCCCGAGGACCCGGAGAGGAAGCTTTTGAGACTGCACCTTCTTGTTATTTCTCTTGCCCATTTCTGCGACTTCGAATTGACAGCGTTGCTATTTAGTAGTAGATCGCAACCCCACCCTTTTAAAGCCTCTGAAAATTCGGCCCGATGAAACGAAACTAAAGTAAAACAGTAGTCCAGAAACATAACTGCACTTTAGTTTAATAACTTCTGTTTCTCACACAGAATTTTCGGTAGCTTTTATTTATTTTTTTAAGGCTTTAAGGGATAATGAATAGTATCTAAAGTCTCTAGACCAGATTAATACAGTAGTAAAGCAGCAATGCTTTGGGTTGCATCTTGATATTTTTATTGTCATTGGTTACTGTATCTTTTTTTTTCCTTAAGTGTTTAATTTTCTAAGACCTGATTTCTTAGGCCCAGGACTTTTTCTTATCTGCATAGCAGTAGTAAATTCTCTAGAAGCTGTTGGAAGTTGAAATAGAATTTTTAAAGTGTTTTATACAACCTTTTCCCCTTCATTACCAGGCACTATGCTATTTTGTCAAAAATGACTGGAATACCCTTGTGTCTACTATAAATAAAATAGAGGTGGGCAATTCAGTCATCTACCCTTGCACTTGACTCTTGACTGGATTTCATACAATTTCTGGGATTATTTCTCGTACAACGTTGTACTCCTCATTTAATATTTAGTTGAATAAAGGGGGTATTACCGTCTCATTCAGAGACACCTAGTGAAAGTCCAAATATTTACCTCTGTTGATGGAATCAACTCATAAACTTTTTCAAATTGGAAGGACTTTAAAATTCAACCAACAGGTTACAAAAGTGTTAGGTGATAGAAGCAAACACATAACTAGAACTGAGTCTCCCTTTTTTTCCCTCTTGCCTTTCCCAAAAACCTATCTCTTTCATGCTCCACTCAGGTACTGCCTATTTAAAAAGTCTGTAATGATCTCTTCCTTAAAACTTCAGCACTACTAATCAATTGCAGGTCGTAATCCTAATTAGAATTTTATTGTAAACTGCTGGTTGAAGACTTATTGTGCATAGGGTGTAGTCTTAGATGCTGTGAGAGATAAACTGATTTAGTCACTGTCCTGAGGCTAGAAAGGGAGAAACAAACCACTACTTCCAGTACAAGTTGGGCTATGATAAAGGTAGAAGCAAAGTAGTATAGTATCAAACGAGATAAATTCTGATTACAGGGGCTTGAGAAAGTTTTGTAGAAGAGGTGGTGCCACAGGACTTGGGAAATAGTAGGTGCTCAGTAAACGTTTGTTGGATGAATGAAGGTGGTGTTGGTCCTGGGCCTTGAAGAGCAGGTATTAGTGCTAAGTGTTGGAAGTACCTTGGGGCTTTTTGCTACATATACTTTCTAGCCCATGACTTCAGCTACCATCCAATTGTGATTTTCAAATCTGTATGTTTAGCCAGTCCTCTCCCTTCTGACTTAGTCTGCTATCTACTGGAAATCTTCACTTGGATGTGTTGCAGCATTTCAAACTCAAAATATCTACAAATAAATTGTTTCCTGATAGTGTTCTACAACTTATTAAATAGTGTTCTGTCCCATGCAGAAACCTTAAAGCCTTTGCCTCCCCACATCCAGTATATTATTGAATCCTTTCTACCTCCTAGGTATCTTCAAGTTTTCATACCTCCTTCTATTCCAGCTGTAGTCTAAACCATATCCTTTGCCTGGATAGTCTCTTAAAGGATCTCTCTACCTCTACCGTTGGCCTTCCGCCATCCCACCTCCCCTCTCCCAAAGTTCTTTCTTACACTGTGGTTAAAGGGAACTGTAAAAATGTAGCTTTAACCATGTTCCCAGCTTAAAGCCATTCAGTGGATAAGTCATTCAGTGGATATTGTTGTTAGGATAGGATGAAATCCAAAATTCTTAACCTGGTTTACAAAATCTTTTACCTTCTAATCTCTGTGTACCTCTTCGGGCTCATCTGCCTCTTTTAAATGGATCCTTCAGCCATACTAATCTTTGAGCTCCTGACAGCTGCCAAACTCTCTTGCTTTCAAGGCTTTGCACATATTGTTCCCTCTTATTGGTATGCTACCTTTTCTCTCTGCCCCAAGTTTCTTCATTTGCCCAACATTTCCTAATTCTTCAGTTCTCACCTTTAAGATCACCATCATACCCCAAGACTAGGTAAGATTTCTTTGCTATGTAAGGCCTTATAGCATCCAGTTCTTTTCTTGTCCTAATAGTTACTTGTTTAATAACTGTCTCTCATCATATTGGCAACTGTGTTAGTGTAATTACCATGCTGGCCTTATTCAGCACTATTGTCCCAAGCCCCCTGTCATAGTTAACCTGGTACATAATGGCTTCTCGATAAATTGTTGTTGAATTGAAGTCTACAGCAGAAGCAATATCAGTCATTAAAAATTTGGGGGCTGCTGTAATGTATGAATCAGTGTTCTGGCTCTGGGGATACAGTAATGAACAAAGGAGACAAGATTCCTGCTGTATTCATGGAGTTTGTAATCTTGTAGGAGTCATGCTCACCCCGGGCTCAGGGACTGAAGTTAAGGAGGCAAGTAACTACTACTGGCAACTCAATACAGTCACATAGTTGGACTGGGAGAGGAGGAGCATTCTCTCAAAGCACGGGAAGTCTGTTCTCAGAAGAGGAAAGTTAACTGGACAGAGCAATAATATCTACCAGAAGCTAGATAAGGAATGTAACTACCCAGCTGCTAAGAACGAACCCAACCAAACAAAAATCTGTAAAACTTAAAACCACAAAATACCCAGACTTAAGGACTAAGCCAGACCAAAGCCAGGCAAAGTGACTAGCACATTCTAGTTGTAATAAGTATTATTAAATAACAATACCTGGTTTTGTTCTTTTTTTCCCATTGGTTTTAAGCAGCTAAAGGAGAATATTGAGCAGTTCTTCACTAAATTTGTGGATGAGGGGAAAGCCACTGTTCGGTTGAAGACGCCTCCTGTGGATATCTGTCTAAGTAAGGTATGATGTTAAAAACATTGGTGGGTTGGTTGGTTGGCTGTATTTTCTTTAAGAGGCTGTTTGAGCACCCTGATATCTCACATAGCTGAATAGGGACAAACTCCTTCAGATACGTTTGAAGAAGTGATGGCAGCTTCCCAGGCATGCATGTATAGCTCTAAAAGTGCAAAATCAGCCTTCGTAAGGCTGCCCAGGATGGGGAAGAAAACTAGGTTTGCTTCTGGGCCCAAAGTGGAACCTTAGGGCGTTCTTAGACTGGAATTCTAAGGCAAGTGGCTCAGAGTTTATAGCCTGTAATTCATTTTGCCCGCTGAATTATAGGCTACAAATCTTAAGTTTAGTGTAATAAAAAAGAGGATAAAGTGCAATTAAAACCTTTTTGGGGGTGTTTTATTTACTATAATCATTTTTTTAAAATACATCATCAGAGTAAAAAAAAACTATTTCCCTATTTCTCCTTTTTGTCTTGCCCCTTCTCAGAGGGTAGGAGCAATGTCTTGTTCAATCTTGCGTTATCCTTAACCCCAAGCAAAGTGCATTGCAAACATTAAAAGTTTAATAACCATTTAAGGTATTTGTATTAAATGGAATAATTTTGTCCTACCTCCTCCTGTTCTTATGGTTTTTCATTTCTCTGGATATTCAGCCTACCCTTCCGTTAACTCCTTCTATCTAAAAACAAGCTGAGGTCTTACCAGTTAAAAAAAAACAGAATAAACAAATTGCTGGAAAGACAAGGCTAAGTCCATTGTCTTGACTTTCTTACTATCTGTTTTGACCTTTACTTTCACTGGTTTATTGAAAACACTGCCTCAAAGATCTGGGATCTCCTTCCTGTTTGCCAATCACATTGTTATTATTTCTCATTCTTTTTGAACTCTGTAGAATTTATTTATTTATTTTATTATT